GCTCAGGTTCTGTGGCTCAAGGCCTATGATGGAGTCATCACCCAACTCACTGAGGTTAGTCAGTGTAGTCAGCTGGGATGCTTCTGTCCTTATTCACTTCTGTGCTACATTACCTATGATGGAGATGTTCCTAATATTCCATGATGCACCAAACATATGGGTGCGTGCGTGAGTGCATGTGCGTGCGAGTGCATGTGTGCACGTGGAGTCTTAGACAAATTGACTTTGCTTTTGGCAGATATTTCTTATGATAATAGAAATGGTTTTGTTGCTTGAACGTTTATCAGAACCAAACCTTTGAGTGATATCACTTACATCAGAACTCTACCATACTACTGATAGCACTTACATCAGAACTCTACCATACTACTGATAGCACTTACATCAGAACTCTACCATACTACTGATAGCACTTACATGAGAACTCTACCATACTACTGATAGCACTTACATCAGAACTCTACCATACTACTGATAGCACTTACATCAGAACTCTACCATACTACTGATAGCACTTACATCAGAACTCTACCATACTACTGATAGCACTTACATCAGAACTCTACCATACCACTGATAGCACTTATATCAGAACTCTACCATTGAGTGATATTACAAAGATCAGAACTCTACCGTACTTCTGAGTGATATCTCTTATATCAGAACTCGACCATTCTACATATATAACTTACATCAGAACTCAACCATACTACTATCACTTACATCAGAACACTACCATTGAGCGATATCACTTACATCAGAACTGTACCATTGAGCGATATCACTTACATCAGAACTGTACCATCTTATATCAGAACATTGATAAGATTTTATGAATGTTATAAAGGAGGACTCTGATTGGTTAATAAGCCCAACTGGATGTCACGATGAAAGGACTCCCTGATTGTTGTGAACAAATTAGTGCTCTTTGATTGATTGTTTTAAATATTGTTTAATGAAACAATGATAGGTTTTTGAAAATAATGTATGTGTGACAGATTCCTCAGATTCATTATCTGTGAGATGTGTCAGTAATTCAGATTTTGGTGGCGGTGAGTGTCATCTGACTTTAATTTGTTTCGGGAGTATACTTTTACTGTTAACTAGATCATCCTTTTCTCCTGTACTATGTGGAGACAACATCCTGTATGGGGAAAGTGACAACGAGGAATCAATAAGCTCTCAAGTACTGGCTTCAGCCATTGATGTTAGCCTGTTAGCAGGTGGCTGGTGGGACAATCAATTTCATCTGCACACAGCTTCTTGCAAACAATGTGTTTCTTTACAGAGGAGTATTGATTTCCCTTATTAGTTAGACTTACTGAACATGTGTTTGTAACAGGGACTACCCCCCCATGCTGTCGCCATTAAAATTCCTTCCTCCCTGTGTGTGCACAATAAAGGTTCCTTCCTCACTATTATGTGAACAATTAAAGTGCCTTCCTCCCTGTGTGTGCACAATTAAAGTGCCTTCCTCCCTGTGTTTGCACAATTAAAGTGCCTTCCTACCTGTGTGTGCACAATTAAAGTTCCTCCCTGTGTGTGCACAATTAAAGTGCCTTCCTCCCTGTGTGTGCACAATTAAAGTGCCTTCCTCCCTGTGTGTGCACAATTAAAGTTCCTCCCTGTGTGTGCACAATTAAAGTGCCTTCCTACCTGTGTGTGCACAATTAAAGTTCCTCCCTGTGTGTGCACAATTAAAGTGCCTTCCTCCCTGTGTGTGCACAATTAAAGTGCCTTCCTCCCTGTGTGTGCACAATTAAAGTGCCTTCCTCCCTGTGTGTGAACAATAAAGTTCTTTCCTCCCTGTGTGTTCCCAATTAAAGTTCCTTCTTCCCAGATGTGTGAACATTGAAATTTTGCCTCCCTGATGTGCGAACACTGCCATTTCTCCTTCCTGTTCTGTGAAGTTTGAAGTTTCTCTCACTGTTCTCTGAACATTGAAGTTTCTGGATTGACTAACAAGCCCCACATGGCTGCCAATGTTAGGCTGCTCCTGTAAATCATCTGACATTTACTAGCACAATGTGGTTAAACGGCGTGCATGAAATCATGCTTGACATTTTCCAAGTAGTATACAGTCTGTGTGTATGTTGTGTACACATATGTGTCACATTTTTGTATTTGGATCCTCATACGTCATCTCAATGCATGAGTCTCGTGAGACTACATTTCAAACTTACTTTAAACCATGTGAAGCTGAACGTTCCTAATTATCTCCCCTTCTCATTGCTTGTGTGAAACCTGTTATCTAATTGTTTAGACCATATTCTGTATTGTTACTAATATACTAAGGGCATCAGGTTAGTTTGATTTAATCAGGTTAGTTTGATTTAATCAGGATAATTGATATATTCAGGTTAGTTTGATTTATTCAGGTTAGTTTGATTTATTCAGGTTAGTTTGATTTATTCAGGTTAGTTTGATTTGTTCAGGTTAGTTTGATTTGTTCAGGTTAGTTTGATTTAATCAGGTTAGTTTGATTTAATCAGGTTAGTTTGATTTATTTGGGATAGTTTGATTTATTCACTGCTCATTTTGCCATTGTCCTCCCCATTTTGTGTAATGTTAATCTAATTGTTTAGACCATGTTCTGTATTGTTTCTTATATACTAAAGGCACCCGGTTAGTTGATTTAATCAGGTTAGTATGATTTAACCAGGTTAGTTTGATTTAATCAGGTTAGTTTGATTTTATCAGGTTAGTTTGATTTATTCAGGTTAGTTTGATTTAATCAGGTTAGTTTGATTTAATCAGGTTAGTTTGTTTTAATCAGGTTAGTTTGTTTTAATCAGGTTAGTTTGATTTAATCAGGTTAGTTTGATTTATTCACTGCTCATTTTGCCATTGTCCTCCCCATTTTGTGTACTGTTAATCGTTACCTACATGAATTTCTTTTGTTCTGCTACCTCCATCATACATTTTACGTTTAAATGGTGGGCATAGCAGGGTCTTGGTTAAATATGTTCACTCAAACATAATTGTAGTTCTCCATGTCACAGAAACCCTTCTGTTTGCAGAATTTCTGCATATATCATTTTCATGCCTCAGAGCATGTTATTGTCATGATGAGACAGTGATTCAGTCTGCCTCAACAGTCATCTTTGAGAACGGCCTTATCAGTCATCATGCAAAACAGTCTCAGCAGTCATCTAGGAGAACAGTCTCAGCAGTCATCTTGGAGAACAGTCTCAGCAGTTATCTTCGAGAACAGTCTCAGCAGTCATCTAGGAAAACAGTCTCGGCAGTTATCTTGGAGAACAGTCTCAGGAGGTATCTTGGAGAACAGTCTCAGGAGTTATCTTGGAGAACAGTCTCAGCAGTCGTCTTGGAGAACAGTCTCAGCAGTCATCTTGGAGAACAGTCTTAGCAGTCATCTTGGAGAACAGTCTCAGCAGTTATCTTGGAGAACAGTCTCAGCAGTCATCTTGGAGAACAGTCTCAGCAGTCATCTTGGAGAACAGTCTCGGCAGTTATCTTGGAGAACAGTCTTAGCAGTCATCTTGGAGAACAGTCTAAGCAGTTATCTTGGAGAACAGTCTCAGAAGTTATCTTGGAGAACAGTCTCAGCAGTTATCTAGGAGAACAGTCTCAGGAGTTATCTAGGAGAACAGTCTTAGCAGTCATCTTGGAGAACAGTCTAAGCAGTTATCTTGGAGGACAGTCTCAGCAGTCAGCTAGGAGTACAGTCTAAGCAGTTATCTTGGAGGACAGTCTCAGCAGCCATCTAGGAGAACAGACTCAGCAGTCATCTTGGAGAACAGTCCAAGACTGATTTTATCGGAACTCTATGGGCTACTGATTTAATCTGAACTCTATGGAAGGCTGATTTGATCTGAACTCTATGGGATACTGATTTGATCTCTATTCTGATTCCAATTTCGGGAGTTAGAATAGGTCTTCAGCAACCCATGCTTGCCGTAAAAGGTGACTATGCTTGTAGTAAAAGGCGACTAACGGGACTACTTGTCATTAAACAATATATCACGTGACGACTGAGGCTCGCTGACTTGGTTGATGCATGTCATCAATCCCAATTGTGTGGATCGATGTTCATGATGTCAATCACTGAATTGTCTTGTCCAGGCTCGGATTATTTACAGACAGCCCTCATATAGCTGGAATATTGCTGAGTGCGGCATAAAACAACAAACCAAATTAAACCTCTGTTCTGATTTGATTTGAACTCTAGGAAATATTGACTTGATCTGAAATTCTGATTTTATTGAACACGATCTGAACAATATGACACACTGACTTAATCTGAACTCTACAAAATACTGAATTGGTGAGTTTTGCAAGGGATGATAATTTGTCTGTCACGGACTTAATAACACTCTATCTGTAAGCACTCACGTGGGCTATTCAGTATTGTCCTTCGTGATGCTGCCTGACATAAATACAAGTCCTGTTGTCAAGTGATGGTCTCAGGGGAAAATTTTTGTGGTGAAGATCATTTTACGTCTGTGTTACTTTTACTTCCATAAATGGTTTGTTTGGTTTACGGTTTGTTTACAAATAACTGCAGTTCATGTATTAATATTACTAATACTCTCTCACCCATCTTGCTGTTTTCTTGTATAGACGTTCTTGTAACTCATTAATGTTTGATGAATAGTTATGGTTACTCTTCCATCCTGGTGTGACGAGGCACCTGTCCTATCATATCTAATGTACACAATAGGAAATAAACTAGAAGGCGGGTCATGATGACAAATCAATGAATGTCATCATAAATCATGCATGGGTAATTGGAAATGTCACCAAAATAATTAGATGTGACAAATACAGAAAATGTATCAGAGTACTTCATGTATGGAGAGCTATTTATCTTCAATAAAGATGAGGATGTAACACTAAATTGATGGACACATACGTAAGCTGAAGCTAGGGTAATATCCACCGAAGTCATCAGGCGTGAAAAATAATTAAAACCGGCTGTCGGCAAACAGCTGGCCAGAAATACATATGTTCAATTTCCTTGTTTGTCGAGACACACAAAGGTGGTAATGATTTCTGTACTGTCCCAGTTGGGTATCAATTTGAGGGAATCGGTCTCTTGCCGGACTGGATGTATGAATGTTACATGACTATTGAAGTTTTCAAATACAGATTGAAACGTGTTATCTATTGAGGCCATGTAACCCTCCTGGATCATAATGGATCTGTCAGCTGAATAGTACTGAGAGTCATAATCAATATACCTATGTTGTCACCTGTGTGACCTGGATCACACAAACATAGGGAAAGTGGAGTGTCGACAGCAGAAGATGTGATGACACAGCATTGACGGCAGGACATTGGGGGACAAAGGATTGGCAGAATATTGGGTAACTGTGTTGACAGAAGAACATTAGGTAACTGTGTTGACAGAAGAACATTGGGCAACTGTGTTGACAGCAGAGCATAGGGCAACTGTGTTGACAGAACATTGGGCAACTGTGTTGACAGAAGAACATTGAGCACCTGTGTTGGCAGAAGAACATTAGGTAACTGTGTTGACAGAAGAACTTTGGGCACCAGTGTTGACAGCAGAGCATAGGGCAACTGTGTTGACAGGAGAACATTGGGCAACTGTTGACAGCAGGACATTGGGCAACTGTTGACAGCAGGAGATTGGGCAACTGTTGACAGCAGGAGATTGGGCAGCTGTTGACAGGAGAACATTGGGTAACTGTGTTGACAAGAGAGCATTGGGCACCAGTGTTGACAGCAGGACATTGGGCACCAGTGTTGACAGCAGGTCATTGGGCACCAGTGTTGACAGCAGAACATTGGGCACCAGTGTTGACAGCAGGTCATTGGGCACCAGTGTTGACAGCAGGACATTGGGCAACTGTGTTGACAGCAGGACATTGGGCAACTGTGTTGACAGGAGAACATTGGGCAACAGAGTTGACAGGAGAACACTGGGCAACTGTGTTGACAGGAGAACATTGGGCAACTGTGTTGACAGGAGAACATTGGGCAACTGTGTTGACATCAGGACATTGGGCAACTGTGTTGACATCAGGACATTGGTCACCAGTGTTGACAGTAGGACATTGGGCACCAGTGTTGACAGCAGAACACTGGGCACCAGTGTTGACAGCAGGTCATTGGGCACCAGTGTTGACAGCAGGACATTGGGCACCGGTGTTGAAAGCAGGACATTGGGCACCAGTGTTGACAGCAGGTCATTGGGCACCAGTGTTGACAGCAGGTCATTGGGCACCAGTGTTGACAGCAGGTCATTGGGCACCAGTGTTGACAGCAGGACATTGGGCAACTGTGTTGACAGGAGAACATTGGGCAACAGTGTTGACAGGAGAACATTGGGCAACTGTGTTGACATCAGGACATTTTGCAACTGTGTTGACAGCAGGACATTGGGCTACTGTGTTGAAAGCAGAAAAATGGGTAATTGTGTTAACAGCAGAACAAAGAGCATCACAATATTTATTTACAAAAAATTTTGGACACTGTTAAAGAATGTGTTGACATCACAATATGGGGGTGACACAGTGTTATATCAAGGCGGTGTAGACAGCAGAGTATGTGGAAGGTATTAGTGGTTGCTGCAGAACCATTGGCACAACACTTCATGGGGAAGTTTACAGCACATGGTTAGAACTACTGAAAACCAAATGCAACTTAAAGTATTGACTGCCATCTGCCATATAATCTGATATAATCCCTCCAAAGTGAGTTCCTGTAGAGACAGGCAGACATGATGTCAGCATTCTTCAGCGTTTAGTAACCCAGAAATGACTACATGTGTCTTTTCTATGAACACACATAGGTGTGGCTAGTGACAACATAATGTTCATCAAGGGAAGAGTCAGCACTATCACGCTGGATAACACCTGTGATACCTGGCACAGAGACATATGTGTGAGTTCCAACAAACATATGATATCTACTACCTGTGTGCTTATTAATATCTACTACGTATGTGAAAGAACAGATCGTTCGATGACCCACAATTAAACACTACAGGAATAACAAAGTCATTTTTACAACAAATTCTAACCCAAACTGGTATCCTAGCAACAAGATGGGAAGTTTGATAGATAAGTTTGTTGCAGAAAGTGACAAGTCAAACTGTGAAACTGATGAAGACAGGGATGCGTCTGTGACAAGTGACTCAGCCGAGGTGGTCAGTCATTGCGTCAGTTTAAAACACAAGTCAAAAGAAGAGCGCACATTCCTGGACGTCTTGCCATTGTTTCTGCAGGAACTCTGGCGGATTCGTATTGAAAAACAAGCAACTGAGTTTAGTGTTGACCAAACAATGTCTTCGAATGATGGCAGGTCGTGGGAGTTGGAAGATGTTGATGACGAAGGGGCGGCTGGAGGGACAGGTGAACACGACAGTGACCCCGAATGTGACTTTTTTAATCAGGGCTTCCTGCAGGAAGTCAACGGGCCTCAGAAGTCACAGGTATCAGTACAGTGTATTTATGTTGTGTGTAAGGGGTTGCTGTATGGTTATTGAATGACATTCATCTACTGATGGTTACCTTCGGGAAACTTACTAACTAGGGGTTGGACTTAAGCTCACAGATCTGGTAGATGGAACAGGTACATAGGTAGTACATGTCAAGGTATGAACCACACCTGATTTTTATATCAGGGCAGGATTTTAACCACACCAGCTGTTTATGTCACCATTTTAACCACACTTGATCTTTATGTCAGGGCAGGGTTTTAACCACACAAACTGGTTGTGGCAGCTCAGGTTTGAATATTTTAATCTTTGAACACATATATGGACGGCCATTGGGTCAAAAAATACAAAGTTGAAAAAAGGGACAAAAGTACGCAATTAAGGTCAAATATTACGAATAAAGAACTAAATGTTACTACTAGTACTAAAGGTCAAAATACAATATTAATTGTCAAATGTTACGAAAAGATGTCATAAGAAAAGAAAGAACAATGTGTACGAAAGAACGTCAGTGAGCACGAAAGGACGTTTTCAATAAAGAACGTCAGTGAGCACGAAAGGACGTTTTCAATAAAGAACGTCAGTGAGCACGAAAGGACGTTTTCAATAAAGAACCTCAGTGAGCACGAAAGGACGTTGACAATAAAGAACGCCAGATGGCGCTGCAATTTGTAAAACATTCCGAGTTTAATTGGCTTGTTCTGCCGTGTATATGATAACTGCATGCCGAGGTGCTCAATGTATTATGTCATTCCTCGTGCACTCACCGTCTGACGTCACACATATAAATGTGGATGTAAACAACCGAAATAAATATGGTTTGAAAACGAACGCTGGCGTCATAGATGAAACTCGATTTTCTTTATTTATGGCGAGCTATTTTTCCTTACGAATTTGTAAGTTATACATATGCATACAAATCCATTTGGTATATTTATTTGTTGTTCAGATATTAGGCAGCATTTTGTTTGCACACAGTTTCCGAAAAGCTGTTAAATAAAACAAACTCTCGCACAATGTTCACTTTTCAGATGAAAATGTGCATCTGAAACAAAACTCAGCATCATAGCACCCTCGTGTTGCACCAAGCATAAACAGTTATTGGATCACTGTAGATGAATCCTAGTTTAGCGTTAAGAGTGTTTTTTGAAGGTTGTATACAAAATACATGTACCAATGTTATGCAGATGTTGGATTACACAGTATACTGTATTTATGACAAGGCCCTTAAGCGGCGACAAAGCTTAACGCAACATATTTATACACAATGTGTACATTATACATTATAAATACATGTATATATATGTGTGACGTCAGACGGTGAGTGCACGAGGAATGACGTAGTACATTGTGCACCTTGGCATGCAGTTATCATATACTATACACGGCGGAACAAGCCGATTAAACTCGGAATGTTTTACAAATTGCAGCGCCATCTGGCGTTCTTTATTGTCAACATCCTTTCGCGTTCACTGACGTTCTTTATTGAAAACGTCCTTTCGTGCTCACTGACGTTCTTTGTTGAAAACGTCCTTTCGTGCTCACTGACATTCTTTCGTACACATTGTTCTTTCTTTTCTTATGACGTCTTTTCGTAACATTTGACTATTAATATTGTATTTTGACCTTTATTGTAACATTTAGTTCTTTATTTGTAATATTTGACCTTAATTGCGTACTTTTGTCCTTTTTTTCAACTTTGTATTTTTTGACCGAATGGCCGCCCATACACATATACATTATGTATGACTGACCCTTTAATGAGGAGATAAACATACTGTGTTTTCAATGTAGAGCTAGGTTACCTGTAGATTTGACCGCGCTAAATTGAATTTGGGACCAAACGTGCAGTGTGAGGTTTCAAATGATAAAATTAGCGCAGTTAAATCTACAGGTTACCTAGCTCTACATTGAAAACACAGTATGTTTATATCCATTCTACCATGACTCAATACAACGCGAGTTAAGTACACCGAAAGGATATCTCTCCACATCACTATATCTCCCTACATATATCTCCCTACGCTATTTCTCACCATCCCTATGTCCTCCCCTTATCCCAATCTCTCCCCACCCTATATATCCCCACCCAATATCTCCCCACTCTATATCTGCCCACCCTATATCTGCCCACCCTATATCCCCACTCTATATCTGCCCACCCTATATCTGCCCACCCTATATCTGCCCAGCCTATATCCCCACTCTATATCTGCCCACCCTATATCTGCCCACCCTATATCTGCCCAGCCTATATCCCCACTCTATATCTGCCCACCCTATATCTGCCCACCCTATATCCCCACCGTATATCCCCCCAACCCTATTTCCCCACCTGAGTTCGATTTCCCACTTGTGTACAATGAGTGAAGCCAGTTTCCGGTGTCAACCACTGGGATGTTGTTGGAATATATTGCTAAAAGCAGCGCAAAACCATACTCACTCACTAACTTTATCTCTCCTTATCGCCACCCATCCAAATCTCTCCCCAACCTATATCTCCCCACCATCTCAATTTCTCCCCTCCCCTATGTCCCCACCCATCCCAATCTCGCCCCACCCTATATCTCCCCAGCCCATATCTCCACCCAATATCCCGACCCTATATATCCCCACCCATCTCAATCTCTCCCCTCCCCTATATCCCCACCCATCCCAATATCTCCCCACCCCATATCTCCACCCAATATCCCCACCCTATATCTCCCCACCCATCCCAATCTCTCCCCACCCCTATATCCCCACCCATCACAGCCTCTCCCCACCCTATATCTCCCCGACCCATATCTCCACCCAATATCCCCACCCTATATCTCCCCACCCATCCCAATCTCTCCCCACCCCTATATCCCCACCCATCACAGCCTCTCCTCACCCTATATCTCCCCACCCTATATCTTCCTACCAACAGTAACAACCCTATTTTGCCCCACCCCTTTCTGACCGCCTCCGTGGTCTAGTGGTAGAGCGTCTGCCTGGAGAGCGGAAGGTCCGGAGTTCGATCCCCGGCCGCGTCATACCAAAGATGGTACTTGTTGTTACCCTGTCTGGCGCTCGGCATTAAGGGGCTAAAACAAGGACTGGTCGGCTCGGAGTCAGTATACAGTGTCTGAGTGGGGTATTCATGTTAAACTGCGGCATGGTATCTCAGTGAGCTAGCACTATAAATCGGCATCAATCCGGACTAGTACAAGCAGACACACAAACACACACACGTGCATGCACATCGCTATATAAGTGCAATAATCTTGGACGCGACGTTAAACCCCATTTCACCTCACCTCACCCACCCCTTTCTCTCCAAATGCTATCCCTCCCAAATCTGCTATTCCACATCTCTCCAAAACCACCACCTATCCCTGTCATTACCCAACACCATCCCTCCTTATTAGTAACAGTCTCAATGATCTTTTAGATGTAATTTGAAATCTTCCTAATACCCTGTCTCTGTTGGTGATGAATGCAGAAACATTTCTCATGATCAACATTCATCCAGAGAATGCTAACAAGCTCATGTCTGCACCAAGTCAGCATTCATTGTAGATGCCATATACCTCCATTGCCCTTTACAAACAAAACACCACATTAATCATACTTGTTGTTATGTGCACTTGGAGCTTTCAGACTATACGTCATATGCAACAGCTGGGAGATATATTTCAATATTGGCCAGTCGTTAGTTGTTTGCTATTGATCTCCAGTGTGCGTGGTGTTGGGAGGGGGGAGGGGGTGCTGTGATCTCGCCAGTGTGAGTGGTGTTGGGGAGGGTGGGCTGTAGCCATCTGTTGCTGACAGGTACACAAGGGTCTGATGGCTACTCACCTTCCTGTCGCAGTAACCTACCATGCTCATCCACACTGTCTATTTCAAGTGGGACTCAGTTGGCCAAGTCGGCGTGGACCAGCTCAGCTATGGTTATTGAAAGAGACAATTGTTAAGTGTTGTTTCGTGTGATAAGGCAAAACAGTTTGAATAAGTATTGATGAGTCCTGTTTGGATGACATATTGATCCAATATAAAGGCTAAATTTTGTTATGTGATTGTGATTTTTGCAGCAACTTGTTGAGTTCTTTTCATAAGGGACTGGCTTGGTAGTATTCTGATATTTTGGTGGTGGGAATGTTGATTTATATATTGGATTGAGTCAGCACTTCAGAGTAAACAATTTGTTCTCTTAAAGGAGGGCTACAAAGCAATACCCAAGGCTACACAGCTACACCCTAGGCTACACAGCTACACCCAAGGCTAAACAGCTACACCCTAGGCTAAATAGCTACACCCTAGGCTACACCCAAGGCTACACAGCTACACCCAAGACTGAACAGCAACACCCTATTCTACACCTAAGGCTACAAAACCTACACCCAAGGCTAAACAGCTACACCAAAGGCTACACAGCTACACTCTAGGCTACACAACCTACACCCAAGGCTACACAGCTACACCCAAGGCTAAACAGCTACACCGCTATACCCTAGGCTACACAACATACACCCAAGGCTACACAGCTACACCCAAGGCTACACAGCTACACCGCTATACCCTAGGCTACACAACATACACCTAAGGCTACACAGCTACACCCAAGGCTACACAGCTACACCGCTATACCCTAGGCTACACAACATACACCCAAGGCTACACAGCTACACCGCTATACCCTAGGCTACACAACATACACCCAAGGCTACACAGCTACACCGCTATACCCTAGGCTACACAACATACACCTAAGGCTACACAGCTACACCCAAGGCTAAACAGCTACACCGCTACACCCAAGGCTACACAACATACACCCAAGGCTCAACGGCTGTACTCAGGGCTACACATCTACACCCTACATCACAGCTACACCACAGCTACACCCTACATCACAGCTACACCCAAGGCTATTTAGCTGTTCCCAGGGCTAGAAAACTACACCCAAGGCTGTACACCTATACCCATGGCTAAACAGCTACATTCTAGGCTACACAGCTACACACTAGGCT